GATCTCCAGAGCGTTGCCCCGAGGAGCACCTCAATTCCCAAGAGGGATGAGGAGGAGGAAAAGGAGAAGGAGGGGCGGCCGGCTTACACCTGCGGCATCTCGCCCCTATGTTTTGGCTAAGACAATAAAAAAGGAGAGGACGGAAGAAATTCCTAGGAGTGTCCTGGTAGCCACGAAATGCGGCGGCCTGCATGCTCGCCGGGGTCGTCCGGCCACGGACGCCCCCCCCCACAGCCGGGCCCCGCGCCGAGGGGACGGAGGATGACCAAGCTCGCTATAAGCTTACATCGGCGGGGGGGGCGGGAGAAAGAGAAAGTCCTCTCAGAAAGCGGCGGGGCTTTTCAGAAGCCCGCCGGCCTTCTTGGAGGTTATCTGCGTCTTCGGGTAAGGCTCAGAAAACTTCTCGAAGGCCAGGGGACTTCCCGGCCTTCTGAGAAGGCCCGCCCATCTCACTTCGCCACCTCGCTCGCCGCCGATAAACACATCTTTAGGAATGAAGCGGTCATCGGAGAAATGCCAGGGTTTGTGAGGCAACATGCGGAACATCAATGCTGCCAGAAGCCAGTAGTTGTCCGACAACCCGAGGAGACAGAGGAGGAACGAGGGAGGATGGGGGAGGCAGGAGCACAATAGCAACGAACCCATACAAGACGTACGCGCCAAGTCACGTACATGAATGCGGCCCCCAAGTCTGCGAGGCCAATCGTTACGAACGCTCGCGCAATGTAGAGTCTCTGAACCCACGTCAACTCATGTACACGCACGTCTATACTTCGATCCTGGGATAACCCGGAGAAACAATCAAGAACCCCCCCCCTCTCCGGCGAAAATATAACGCACCCGGCACCCCAGAGACGTTACCCTGGCACCTCGCACCTTTATGTGAACGCAGACGAGTCTGCTCGCCGAAACAAGCACACCGCCTTGGACATTCTCGCAATATTTTGGCTCTGATTCGCCATTATGGATCAAGTCGAGGGCCAAGGCCTCAGTCAACAGGCCTTGGCCCGGTTAAACCAAAAAATCCTCCTCCTCCTCCTCCTCCTCCTCCTCCTCAAGACTTCCGCACAGCATGGCACCAACACGAACAACGACAATAATGCCAGCAATAAGACCTATATCGAGAACAGCAAGGCCAACACCAGCAACATCAACATCAATTATCCTGACGAAGGACCCAACCATATGCAGGTGTGAGTACCGCAATTGTGATTCACTTTTTCGGTGGTGATCCCTACGAGGCAACGAACCGTGCTAGGGGTGTGCCGAAATGAGTGGCGTGGTACACGACGCGAACGAAAACGAACAACACAATGCGGACTGCGCCACGGGGGCCTTCGGGGGGGTTCCGTATGGGGCCAAAAATATGTACTAGGTAAGGGAGACGCATGCGGACTGCGCAACGGGGACCTTCGGTGGAATTCCCTATGGGGCCACGAAGAGTGTGAGGGGTGTGCCGAAATGAATGGCGGGGACGCATGCGGACTGTGCCACTGGGACCTTCGGCGGGGCTCCTATGGGGCCACGAAGCGTGTGAGGGGTGTGCCGAAATGAGTGGCGGGGGCGCATGCGAACTGTGCTGCCAGTGGGACCTTCGGCGGGGCTCCTGTGGGGCCACGAAACGTGCGAGGGGTGTGCCGGAATGAGTGGCGGGGGCGCATGCGAACTGTGCCACTGGGACCTTCGGCGGAGCACCTGTGGGGCCACGAAACGTATGAGGGGTGTGCCGACATGACTGGCGGGAATGCATGCGAACTGTGCCACTGGGACCTTCGGCGGAGCTCCTATGGGGCCACGAAACGTGTGAGGGGTGTGCCGACATGAATGGCGGGGACGCATGGCATGCGAACTGTGCCACTGGGACCTTCGGCGGAGCTCCTGTGGGGCCACGAAACGTGCGAAGGGTGTGCCAAAATGAGTGGCGGGGACGCATGCGGATTCTGGCAGTGGGACCTTCGGCGGAGCTCCTCTGGGGCCACGAAACGCGTGAGGGGTGTACCGAAAGGACTGGCGGGAATGCATGCGAACTGTGCCACTGGGACCTTCGGCGGAGCTCCTATGGGGCCACGAAACGTGTGAGGGGTGTCCCGGAATGAATGGCGGGGACGCATGCGAACTGTGCTGCCAGTGGGACCTTCGGCGGGGCTCCTATGGGGCCACGAAACGTGCGAGGGGTGTGCCGGAATGAGTGGCGGGGGCGCATGCGAACTGTGCCACTGGGACCTTCGGCGGAGCTCCTATGGGGCCACGAAGCGTGTGAGGGGTGTCCCGGAATGAATGGCGGAGACGCATGCGAACTGTGCCACTGGGACCTTCGGGGCCACGAAACGTGCGAGGGGTGTGCCAAAATGGATGGCGGGGGCGCGTGCGCACTGTGCCACTGGGACCTTCGGCGGAGCTCCTATGGGGCCACGAAACGTGTGATGGGTGTGCCGAAATGACTGGCGGGGACGCATGCGAACTGTGCTACTGGGACCTTCGGCGGAGCTCCTATGGGGCCACGAAGCGTGTGAAGGGTGTGCCGAAATGAATGGCGGGGACGCATGCGAACTGTGCCACTGGGACCTTCGGCGGAGCTCCTATGGGGCCACGAAGCGTGTGCGGGGTGTGCCGACATGAATGGCGGGGACGCATGCGAACTGTGCCACTGGGACCTTCGGCGGGGCTCCTATGGGGCCACGAAACGTGTGAGGGGCGTGCCGAAATGAGCGGCGGGGGCGCATGCGAACTGTGCCACTGGGACCTTCGGCGGAGCTCCTGTGGGGCCACGAAACGTTTGAGGGGCGTGCCGACGTGAATGGCGGGGACGCGTGCGAACTGTGCCACTGGGAGCTCCTATGGGGCCACGAAACGTGTGAGGGGTGTGCCGGAATGAGTGGCGGGGGCGCATGCGAACTGTGCCACTGGGACCTTCGGCGGAGCTCATATGGGGCCACGAAACGTGCGAGGGGTGTGCCAAAATGAAAGGCGGGGACGCATGCGAACTGTGCTGCCACTGGGACCTTCGGCGGAGCTCCTGTGGGGCCACGAAACGTGTGAGGGGTGTGCCGACATGAATGGCGGGGACGACGATGATGACGATGATGGTGATGATGATGATGATGATGATGCTGATGATGAGAAGAGGGGAGGAGGGAGGAGGAAAGAGGAAACGCGGGGCGCTGTCTCTTCAAAACGAGGACCCAACACCACAGGATGGTTGGGAAAAACACCAACAACGCCAACACCAACAATAACAACATTAAGTCCCACGCAAGGGAAACCCAATTTTGAAAAGGAACCGTCCGTGCCTACGATGGGGGGCGAATAATTTTGGCGGTGCGGGTGCTAAGATAACGCGCCGTGCGTGGCGAGGGCAATATCCTCGCATGCACTACCCCACAAGACGGCCGGGAAACACCAATTTTTCAACAGGGGTTGTAATACAAACCGTATAGGGCAAGGATGCAGAAGATAATGAGACCAAGCTTTTTTTACGTATTATTATTATGTTTCTTACTCATCTTCTTACTTTTATTCCGAGTGTGACTATTATTCTTGTTAGTATTGTTATTATTAGTCTGGCTAGTTTTCTTATTAGTATCATTCTAATGTTTCGGAGTATGATTCTTATTATGATTGTAATTCGCACTCTTACTCTTAATGTTACTTTTATTATCATTACTCTTACTCTTACTCTTATCATTATCTGTAGTATTATTAGTATTATTAATGTTACCATTCGTAGTCTTATTCTTATGAGCAGTGTTGTCATTATTATTATTCGTAGTCTCAGTGTGGTTACTATTGTTACCCGTATCGTTAGTCTGAGTATGATTGTTATTATTATGTTTACTCTTAGTGTTATTACTACTCTTTCTCTTATCAGTATTTGTTTTCTGATGTTCTTTCTTACTGTTATTGGCACTATTAGTCTTATTCGTATTATTAAAATCATTGTGATCCGTATTGCTCTTCTTATTCGTAGTCTTACTCTTAGTTGTATGTTTATTCTGATCATTGGTCTTATTGTACTTCGTGTCTTTTTCGACAAGCTGTCGAACGTATCTTGTGAGAATGCGGTGCTAAGATAACGCGCCGTGCGTGGCGGGGGCAATATCCTCGGATGCACGACCTCACACGGCGGCCGGGAACCACAAATGTTTCAACAGGGGTGGCAAGACACATCGTACAGGGCCAGGATGATGAAGATCATGAGAAAAACTATTGCTCTTATTGAGATTCGGATTATTATTATTCGCATTTTGATTATTAATAGTATTATTATTCGTATCCGTATTCTGCTTCGGATTATGCGTATTATTATTATTATTAGTAGTAGTATTATTCGTACTCTTACTCTTCTTACTACTCTTCTTAATATTAGTACCACTCTTAGCCTTATCATTATTCTTAATATGTATAGTATGGGATCTTCTTCTTATTCGTATTATTAAGTCTATTATTACTACTCGTATCTCATGATTCGTACCATTATTCGTATTCCAATTCCAATTGAGATATCACCCGAGCCAGGGCGAGGGAATTGTTGTATGTTCGTAAATTTGCGCGGTGCTAACTGTATCGCTCGGCGAAAACCGCCCCCCCATAATTATTTAATCACGGAGCGGTCTAATGATAACCCCGGGGGGGGGTCCTCAATAGTTTCATACGGTTAGATGCGGGGAGCGAAGAAGGAGGATGGAAGAGGTGGGGGGGGGGGAGACTGCATACGGACACAACTAAGCAATAGCTTCTCTCCCCCCTCAATCTCAAGGCTGGAGCGTACACTAGAAGCCAGCTGGGAGCCGACCTCTTGATGTCCAGTGCCAACTTGCAAATCCGACTAAGAAATGGGGAGGGCGCCTTCACAACGTATGCTCTGTATGAATGCTGCCTCAATGCTCACGACGCCTCGAGGCTGGAGGAGGGAAGAGAGAGAGGAGGGATTAGGAGGGGGAGCAAGAAAGGAGGAAGGACGATGAGAGGGGAAGGAGGAAGGAGTGGGTGCGCCAGGTTTCTCTGAGCCCCGCGCGGATCCAGGCGTGCGCGTGGCCCGCGGTTCGAGCCTCCGCGACCAAAGCGCGGACCAGCTGTGAGGCGTAGCCCCTGTTCCTGAGGTGCTCGGGCACCTGATCAAAGCCAGCCTTCTGCTGCCTGCTCTTATCCGTACTCTCCCCACCATCCTCCCGAGCGTCCTGATAAGGGTCAGAAGCAGGCCCTGCCACCCCACCAATCATCAGCAGCACAACCTGAATTCGGCATGCTATGATTTGGCATGCGCTGCTAACTTACGCACTGCTATTCGACGGGATAAGGTTTTACGTGCCCCACGGTACCAATAACGACACCAAGACGTGGTACACCAAACTGTGCGGTCCCGTGTTTTTCCCAACCATCCTGTGGTGTTGGGCCCTCGTTTTGAAGAGACGTCGCCCCGCGTTCCTTCCTCCTCCTCCTTCCTCCTCCTCCCCTTCCTCCCCCCTCCTCCCCCTCCCACACCCATTCTGGCACACCCCTCACACGTTTCGTGGCCCCATAGGGAGCTCCACCGAAGGCCCCAGTGGCTGCGCCCGCATGCGGTTCCACCCCCCATTCTGGCACACCCCTCACACGTTTCGTGGCCCCATAGGGAGCTCCACCGAAGGCCCCAGTGGCTGCGCCCGCATGCGGTTCCACCCCCCATTCTGGCACACCCCTCACACGTTTCGTGGCCCCATAGGGAGCTCCACCGAAGGCCCCAGTGGCTGCGCCCGCATGCGGTTCCACCCCCCATTCTGGCACACCCCTCACACGTTTCGTGGCCCCATAGGGAGCTCCACCGAAGGCCCCAGTGGCTGCGCCCGCATGCGGTTGGCCCCATACACAGCTCACACGTTTCGTGGCCCCATAGGGAGCTCCACCGAAGCCCCAGTGGCTGCGCCCGCTGCGCCCGCACACCCCTCATGGCCCCATCGGGAGCTTACCGAAGGCCCCAGTGGCTGCGCCCGCATGCGGTTCCACCCCCCATTCTGGCACACCCCTCACACGCTTCGTGGCCCCATAGGGAGCTCCACCGAAGGCCCCAGTGGCTGCGCCCGCATGCGGTTCCACCCCCCATTCTGGCACACCCCTCACACGTTTCGTGGCCCCATAGGGAGCTCCACCGAAGGCCCCAGTGGCTGCGCCCGCATGCGGTTCCACCCCCCATTCTGGCACACCCCTCACACGTTTCGTGGCCCCATAGGGAGCTCCACCGAAGGCCCCAGTGGCTGCGCCCGCATGCGGTTCCACCCCCCATTCTGGCACACCCCTCACACGTTTCGTGGCCCCATAGGGAGCTCCACCGAACGCTCCAGTGGCTGCGCACGCATGCGGTTCCACCCCCCATTTCGGCACACCCCTCACACGCTTCGTGGGTGGCTCCATGGGGAGCTCCACCGAACGCCCCAGTGGCTGCGCTCGCATGTGGTTCCCCCCCCCATTTCGGCACACCCCTCACACGGTTCGTGGCCCCATAGAGAGCTCCACCGAAGGCCCCAGTGGCTGCGCTCGCATGCGGTTCCACCCCCTTTTTCGGCACGCCCTTCACACGTCTCGTGGCCCCATAGGGAGCTCCACCGAACGCCGCAGTGGCTGCGCTCGCATGCGGTTCCACCCCCCCATTTCGGCACACCCCTCACACGTTTCGTGGCTCCATAGGGAGCTCCACCGAAGGCCCCAGTGGCTGCGCTGGCATGCGGTTCCACACCCCATTCTGGCACACCCCTCGCACGTTTCGTGGCCCCATAGGGGGCTCCACCAAAGGTCCCAGTGGCACTGCCCGCTTGCGTCCGCCACCACCCAGCACAGCCCTTGTTCCCTGCGTTTCACCCACCCAGAACAGCGCTTCGTAGCCCTATAGGGAGCTCCACCAAAGGTCCCAGCGGCACCGCCCGCATGCGTCCGCCACCACCCTGCGCAGCCCTTGCTCCCTGCCTGCGTTTCACCCACCCAGTACAGCGTTTCGGGGCCCCATAGGGAGCTCCACCGAAGGTCCCAGTAGCACCGCTCGCATGCGTCCGCCACCACGCAGCACAGCCCTTGCTGACCGCGTCTCACCCACCCGGTACAGCGTTTCGTGGCCCCATAGGGAGCTCCACCGAAGGTCCCAGTGGCACCGCCCGCATGCGTCCGCCACCACCCAGCACAATTGCGGCATTCACAACTGCATATGGTTGGGTCCTTCGCCAGGCTAATTCTGTTCCATGCCGTGCTGCGCTGTAATGCCCCACGCGTTTCTATGAGCTGCAGTGCTATACACTCAGTGTTATATCATGCTAGGCTGTTGAATGCTAGGATATCCAATTCTACGCTGCGCGATGCAACGTAATGGCTTGTAGTGTCATGGTGTGCCATGGTGTACGATGCTGTTAATAAATGAGATGCCACGTATGCGAAACTTTGCCGCAACGCTTTGAAGTTAATTCCGTGCATCGCCTTGCGTAGCATTGCGTGTCCTTGGTATGTATTGTGCTTGTGAACTCGTAGCATCACCTCATATCAATTTTATCAATATTCAAGGCCGCGCCGTGTTCATTCGTTCTTATGCGTAGTCACAGCAATGTAGCTCGCTAGCTTGGTGTATCCCAGTAGCTTCTGATCGGTCGAGGGTCTCGGGGCATTACGATATCCTGGTGGGTTGATAACCCGTGAGCTTTTCAAATGCTGTCCGATACATGGCAACATCTAACTAGAATGCCTGCTGTTCAAGTCTCGGGTCGGGCATGTATCTCGATGCATTACAACAATTTCTTGCCAATCGACAGACTTCAAGGGCTCATTTTTGCAATGATGAGCCGTACGCCGTAACTCGACGGCTGCATGTTGAGCTTTGCCCTTGCACGGTAAGTCTGTAGGACGAAAGATGTACCCCCAAACGCCCGAGGGGACCCTGCCCATATTTTCTTGTGCAAAACGTCTGGCAGCCATAGTTGTCACGACCCTAGGTCCTCGGGGTCGGTCGGCCTGGTGTGACGTAATGATAGGGGCGCCAAAACTTCCAATGCTAGGGCCCTCGGGATCGGAGCCTCTGGACGCCAGACCCACCTCGACCTTGTGACGCGGAGCGCTATGCACTGCTGTGTCAAACTATTGCATGTAATGGGGTGATACCTTACAGCGTAGACTGCTACGTCATCCCGCGCTACGCAATACAGGGCTATGTAGCGCTACGCAGTGCTGTCATGTGCTATGTAACGCGGTGCTGCACATTGCTGTGCTGCCCGATGCAATGAAGCACGCTGCAAGCCTATAAGATAATATGCAGTGCAATGCTACGCTGCGCTGGGATGGTATGCTATGATGTGGAATGCAATGCCAACATGCTCAACTCTCTGCCCTGCGATGCTCTCAATGCCACGCACGGCAATGCAGTGCCTGTGCTGGTATACATTTCTAATTCGGCAATGTTGCTATGCCATGGTATGCTAGGCGGGACGATCCAGTACAACGCGTTGTATTGCAACGCATTCCATTGCGTTGCTCTGCACGCGTACGCTTTCAAAATTAGCCTGGCGAAGGACCCAACCATATGCAATTGTGAGTAATGCTGGTGTGAGTACCGTCTTCGGTGGATCTCCCTATGGGGCCACGAACCGTTTGAGGTGTGTGCCGAAATGGGTGTGGGGGCGGCATGCGAACGTTGCCACTGGGGCCTTCGGTGGAGCTCCTCATGGGGCCACGAAACGTGTGAGGGGTGCACCGAAGTTGGTGTGGGGGCGGCATGCGAACGCAGCCACTGGGGCCTTCGGTGGAGCTCCCTGTGGGGCCACGAAACGTGTAAGGGGTGTGCCGAAATTGGTGTGGGGGCGGCATGCGAACGCAGCCACTTCGGTGGCCTTCGTGTGGAGCTGCCCTATGGTGCCACGAAACGTGTGAGGGGTGTGCCGAAATGGGTGTGGGGAGGCATGCGAACCAGCCACTGGGGCCTTCGGTGGAGCTCCCTATGGGGCCACGAAACGTGTGAGGGGTGTGCCGAAATGGGTGGTGGGGAGGCATGCGAACCCAGCCACTGGGGCCTTCGGTGGAGCTCCCTATGGGGCCACGAAACGTGTGAGGGGTGTGCCGAAATGGGTGGTGGGGAGGCATGCGAACCCTGCCACTGGGGCCTTCGGTGGAGCTCCCTATGGGGCCACGAAACGTGTGAGGGGTGTGCCGAAATGGGTGGTGGGGAGGCATGCGAACCCTGCCACTGGGGCCTTCGGTGGAGCTCCCTATGGGGCCACGAAACGTGTGAGGGGTGTGCCGAAATGGGTGGTGGGGAGGCATGCGAAGCCTGCCACTGGGGCCTTCGGTGGAGCTCCCTATGGGGCCACGAAACGTGTGAGGGGTGTGCCGAAATGGGTGGTGGGGAGGCATGCGGACCCTGCCACTGGGGCCTTCGGTGGAGCTCCCTATGGGGCCACGAAACGTGTGAGGGGTGTGCCGAAATGGGTGGTGGGGAGGCATGCGACCCTGCCACTGGGGCCTTCGGTGGAGCTCCCTATGGGGCCACGAAACGTGTGAGGGGTGTGCCGAAATGGGTGGTGATGATGATGATGATGATGATGATGATGATGATGATGATGATGATGATGATAATGATATGATGATATGATGATGATGATGATGATGATGATGATGATGATGATGATGATGATGATGATGATGATGATGATGATGATGATGATGATGATGATAATGATGATGGGAGGAGGGAGGGGGGGGAGGAGGAGGAGGTTAGCAACGCGTTGCGCCGTCTCTTCAAAACGAGGACCCAACACCACAGGATGGTTGGGAAAAAGATACGTGCTCACATGGGGCGTGGACGGCTCATTGAAAGCACAATGCACGTCCACCTGTGGATCCTTGCCCGACAACTCGACCCCCTGTCCAGCAGGAGGGGTTGGCCAAAGGACGGAGAAAGCTCATAGAGCGCCCTGCAGTTTAGCAACTTTCCACCTTCCTACCTCCTCCTCCTCCTCCTCCTCCTCCTCCTCCTCCTCCTCCTCCTCTTCCTCCCTAAAGAGAAGGCAAGATGAGGACAAGCTCGGCTTGAGAAACATCGGCAGTCCCTGAGAACCGGCGGGCTCGGTGGCCGTTTCCCACGCCGCGACCTCTTCGGAGCGCCCCGGAACACCCAGGGAACTCTTCACCTTCATGTTAGGCCTGCCCGACTCCTGTCGGGGCTTCGCAAACGGGGGCTTCGCTAAACGGGGGCTTAGGGGATAACCTAGACGGGGGTTTCGCTTCCTGGACGCTAAACCCCGTTTAGCTACAAGGAGGTTTAGCTGAACGCAGTTTAGCGTCCCGGAGCACCCCCCGGAACCCTTCGCCTTGATGTTAGGCCTGCCTGACTTCGGCGGTGGACAAACTTTCCTGTAGCAAACCTCCCCTCAGTGAAAACGGCCTGGGACCGGAACCGACGAACCTGGACCCGCAGAAATGACGGCCGCGACGTCCTCTCGCGAACCGGAAACGGCCAATTCCCTTAATCGAGGTGCCAGGGTAGGAGGTCTACCCACCTCTGATGACTCCTGCTCCTTCTGCCCTTCTGCCAGGTGTTGCCATATGTGTCCCTGGCCCAAGGTGTCCCCAGGACTCCTGGGGAGGCCCAGATGGCCTCCAGAGCACCCCTCAAGAGGCCCAGAGGGCCCTAGAGGCTCCGAAACGGCGCGAAGAGCTGTGGACACCTCGGGCCAGGACCACCTCCAGGAGCACCCGATTCTGCCCTTCTTCTCGTCCTCTGTTCTTCCACTGCAAGCCGGCACCGCGACGCGCGCCAGGTAGATCCCGCCCAGCGTCGGCTCCAGACTGTAAGTCGCGAAGCCGAGCAACTGCCTGCCTCCGGATGGATCGCTAGCGGCGAGCGCCAGGACGGTCCAGCACCGGGCAGCGGCCTCCTGTGGCAAGATCCATCAACATCGGACCGGGGAGCAGATCGGATCGGAGTGTGCCCCGGATCCACACGGCGTAAAAGGCCCACGTAAAAAAACATGACGTACAACCACTGCGCAAAACGCCTAGGAGTGAAATAGGCACTGCGCGGCAACACTGCGCAAAAGCAGCACCACGTGCACACACGAAATGAAAAACTGCATCAAGCACTGCAAAACAAATTCACTTTGCAAAAAAACGCAAAATAAAACCAATACGTGGAACCACCATGTGCAAACACCACGTGCAAATCACCCCCATCGGCGCCGTCGCCGTCGCAGCGAGCAAATCGCGTGAAAACGCAATACGCCTGACGAGTTCGGCGTAGCGTTCCGACGTTGTGTTCACGTAGTGTTTGTGTTTTCACGTAGTGCTTTCAAGTAGTGTTCTTGCGTAGTGTTTGCTCCACCCCTGACGCGTGAGCGTGATGTTTTTCGACGTGGTGTTCACCCTTGCCGTCGCCGCTGTCGATCGCGGTGGGTTGCGTCACGTGCTTGATTTTCTGAATCGGACGAGATTTCGGAGTCGAGTTTCAGCGAAGGATTGCTCGCCAGCCTATGGCACATCGAGCACTAAGCAAAAACACCACATGGAAGCACGGCGCTGCGCGTGAAAAGTCAGACTCCGTATGGTGTCTCAGCATGGAGTCTCAGCACAGGGGAGTTCGTCTGCCTCCAGGGAATAAGCTCTGCTCAGAAAACACTGCGTAAAGCACTTCGTAGAAACGCTGCGCTGCGACTGACGCGCGTGCTCACTCCCCCCTGACGCGGCAGGCAAGGCAACCCTGCATCCAGTCTGGAGGTCAGAATAGCACCGCCTCGGACAGGAACGCTGCAAATCGCCAGCGAATCAAATCGCAAACGCGCCAATCGTCCTCCAAGGAATTTCCCTGGGCAGCCGTTGTCGGTATCCTGGTCGTCTACATTGCCAATGGGGGATGTAAGCGTAAGGATTGGGATGCTGGAGTTGGCATGGTTGAGACTTTAGTGACAGGCCCTGTGGTCGGTGTTGCTGGCGTCAATGATATGTTGTTCGGTATGGATTGATTCAAACACGATGGTGGCACATAAAAACTGTGCTCCGTCACCAGAGTCAACTGGAGACGCCGATTGCGCCACGGTCACTGCAGGCAAGTTCGTACAATGAATCGTGGCCTGGCAAGCATCTCAAGACGCCAAGGGCGCCACGGTCACTGAAACTAATTGCGAGGAGTGGCGTTTGCACCACAGGAGCGCCAGGCAAAGCAGCTCTGCACAAACCAAACTGATGTAGGCAAACTCGTGCAATGACTCGAGGCCTGGCAGACAACTCGAGACGCTGGCTGCGCCACGGTCACTGCAACGAGTGAAAATGTATGGCACCGTGGGCCTCTGGGATTTCCTCCTCGGGCCCTCGCATTTTTTTTTCTCAGCCCCTGCGGCACTCTCGGGCCGATCTTCGCCCTAATGAAATACAGATGAGGCCCCCTATGGCCGGAAGTGGAGCCCCACTGCAGCTTCTTTTGGGCCCTCGTGGGGCTCTCTTGCCGCGGGGCCCTTGTAGGCCATCCGGAGGCGGTCTTGGTAGCGTCGTGAGCCGGGGCGCTTGCAAGACAGAAGAGGCGGAACAGCGGAACAACGAGGTGGGCCTTGGAGCGCCATGTTGACGTTTTCCGTGCGGAGCGCAGCAGAATACCGAAAGATGCCGAATACCGAAGGGGCAAGGATGCAAGGGTAGCCTTGGAAAGTTGCCCCATCCTTACTATCATGGTTGACTGTAACGTCATACACAAACCGAGAAGGTGAACTAAATACGTGGCAACCCACAATTGCGGACAAGAATGACGGGGAGGGCGCGTGGGTCGCGGGGTGGGTCGCGGGTGGGTCGCGCGTGGGTCGCGGGTGGGACTACGACAACAACGCAAGGCAACGCAGCAACAACCATCATGTTCAGACTGTTCGCTCTTACCTGCTCGCGTGCCATTCACCATGTCTATCCCAAACCATGGATACCCGCCCTCTGCGTCTTCGATCATACCCCCCCTTCGGGTATATCTTCCTCACCTGCAACGCGTAGTTGGCGCAGCCTCTAAGACAGGGGCGGGAGGGAATAGGGAAAAGACAAGGGAGAAGGAGAAGGGTGCAGCACGCGACAATTCATTTTCCATCAGACAATCTATGAAACAAGGGAACGAAATAAATGCACGAGCCTGCAACCTGGGTCGTAAATGGACCAGAGCCCGCTCGAAGAGGCGCAGAGAAGAGCCCCCGCGGAGCGGCCGAACTGAACTGATCAGTCCGAATCTCCCGAGTCGCCGCCGGCATAATGCCGACCCTCCCACCCCCGCCTCCCGCCGAAGACCACCCCTGACAGCTGCGAGCTGGGCCACCGCATCCTCATGCTGTCCCAGCTGAAGCGCGGAGCCAGAGGAGGCGAGAGCCCCGTCCTCTTCGCCCCAAGGCCCGACCTGCACTGTAACGCGGTCGTGCTTGGGGTGGCGACCTGCACGGATGCGGTTCCAGGAGCGCTCCCTCCCCTGGGCCCCTTTGGTGTGTGTGTGTGTGTGTGGCCTGTGCAACCCTTTTCGACCACGTGCCTGTCCGCCGCCCGTGGAGTACGACTTGCAGCGGGTGCAGCCAGCAGTGAGAGAACGGTCGCTGGCTTCCAGACAAGAGCACATCGTGCCCGAGCCCCTGGGGCCTGGGGGCGTCGAAACCTCGGCTGCCGACCCCTGGGCCTCCGCGGGCAGATGCCCGAGGGGGGGGGGGGGGGGGGTGCCGAGGTCCTGGGGCCACGGGAACGTCCCTCGCACGCCCAGAGCATGCCTACCCACGTCCAGGCGTGGCCGACTTTGGCCGCGCCCCCCCCCCCTGGCTTCTTTAGACGGCGTCGCTTGCGAGAATTTCCAGGCGCGGCCAGAGCGGCACAAATTTTCGTCGCGACGTGCTCGCAAGCTTTGGACACCGCGAGCTGCCTGTCCAGGCCCTCGCTCTGCTCAGGAGACGGACTAGGAGGGCAGACACCGGCAACTTCGGCAAGTCAATCGGAGGGAACGTTTCCGGACGTATGAAGCTTGCCCATGTCGCTCATATCTGGGTCGTCTGAAGCGAAGCCCCAACTCTCGAAGCCGACACCAGCCCCGTGGACTGCATATTAGTGAAGGGTCCGTTCTACCGGCGATTCCAAGAAGGCGGTACCCTCCTGGGCAACGCGAACTGCCTCACCACGCCGGGGCAATCACAATGCCCGAAATATTATGGAACCGCGGTCTGCCCCGCAGCCACACTGGCCAAACATTCGGCAGCCTGGAATGTCTGGATGTTTTTTTGTTGTTTTCGCTTTCCTGTTATTAAAACTTGTTTTGGTGCAACATTTCCGGTTATCATCATATACAGCAAACCCAACCCCTCGCTGGATAATGCAGGAACCGCGCGTCGTTAACAGCTCTCTCATCCAAAATGAGCCGCCCCGCGCTTCCAGGCCCACGCAACCCTCGCGCTCAAGCCACATAACATAAAACGATCCGACAGCGGGCGGGGGCGCACGTCGCCAGGGTGCTCGAAAGACGCCCATGGTAAAGAAGAGCTGGTCGGGCGCATTTGCGAAGTCGATCTCACGGATGGTCGGCCTTTTATCCTGGAGTTTTGCCAGGATTGCTTCCATCTCCTCGGGACATGCAGGGCAAAAGCACAGGCGGCGCGACTAGTTGACAACTGCGAACTGACGGAAGCTGCAAATCAAATCCGATTGTCGACCACCCCTGTCGGCCGCCACCTGCTCAGGCCATATCCCCCGCGGGCCATGGCCTCGATGCGCCTTTCCTCGAGAGGTGCGAAACGCTTGGGCGCGACCTGCGCTTTGGCCCGGTCGCAGCACGGCCCCCTGACACCAGGGGGCACAGTGGCGGCGCCGGCATTCCCAAGGCCGCGAATAACAGCGGCGCCCAAAGCTCTCCTGGCAAAAGCGGGCAAGGACAGAGTGAACTGGACCACCGCCCCACAATCGTCAAACAGCTCAGCGAGCCACTCCATTTTCCACCCGGCCCTGCCAAGGGGAAGCAGCATGGCCGATGGCTGGCCGCAGACCAATCCAAACATCTCGATCCTCATTCTTGGCGAAAAACCTCCTTCCACCCAGCGCGTAGCCCCCCGAAACTTAAACAGCATGGGCGCGGGCGCGCTTGTTTGGCCCGCGCGCCCCTGGCCCAGCGCGCCAAGGGGGCGACGGAGGCCTAGTAGATAGGACCTTTCGCGAGGATGAGCATGGAGACCGGGGGCCTCTGGCCTGCGCTCGAGTGGCAGGTCGCACCGAACAGTCTCCTGGCAACGACCAATTCACGATCGGAAGAGTCCCCGGTCCCGGCTACGTGCACCAGCCCACGGAGAGGTCCCGAAATACATATGCGCTCGGTAAGACGGTCCGGAATTTCTGGCGCCCCCAGATCATGCTGGCCTTTTCTTTGAAAGCCGCCAAACTGATGCCGATCTCGGGGGGGCGCTTGCCTGGGCGATGAGCTCTCCCACCAATGTCGCCCTCGCCCGAATTGACTGCCGACGAGACGAGCTCCCCGGCCAACTTGCCAACCGTGGAACGGAGCTTGGTGGCGAGTGCAGCAGAAGACGCAGTGGGGCCGGCCCTCTCGGCTAACCCTGGGCCCTGGCACCCTAAGTCAAACTGGATCGCGTGGTGGATCAGCTCTGGCCCGTCGACGACGCCCGCGCCGACAGAAATCTGCTTCCCTGCCGCTGGGATGCCGCAGTCGTCTGCGTAGACGCCCAGACGAACCCCGCGGGGAAGAATAATCCCGTCGAAACTCCTGGCTACGAGTCCTCGCATGAGGACGGCTGCCATCGAGCATCCCGCTACCGAGCCGTTCGCAATATACCAGGGTCCCCACACAAGCCCACCCATGGAAATAAACCGTGAAAGCTTCTGGACAACGATGGCATCCGAGAGAGAGAGAGAGAGACACAGAGAAAGAGAGAGA